GAAAATATTAAAATTTCATTTCTATATTATGTTTATTTCAAGAAGGTGTTTACTATTTTCTTTCTTATTTTCTATACTTTTCTTAAGTATAGTCTTTTGAAAAGTTATTGTTTATTTATATTTATTGTCTGCAAATTAAAAAAAAAAACTTTCGGTATGATTTCGTTCTCATTTTGTTTTCATAAGGCATACATACACAAGATCATAACTACAGGCACATACATATAATAATATAATTTTCCCAAATGTACCAGACTTCTGCCACGTCCTTATGGCCCCTTGCACCGTCTCCCACAATGTATTGCCCCCAGGTGCAACGTGTCCCCAAGTAGCCGCAGCTCGACTTTGGTGTTGGTTTTTTTTTTAGCCTTGGGTTTGGGTTGTTCGCAGCATTTGAAAATTGTTCCATTGACCTTTGGCGACCACGCAGTGGTGAAACGCACACACACACATACAGCTCGCATGTGAATGACTGTGGTTGGGTGGGTTTTTCGGTGGGGCAATGCCCATAAGCAAACAGCACAGCCACCGCAACTCTGACGACAATAAAAAGCAGCAGAACAATTGCCAAATAAATAACTTGACGCTCGCTCAGCGCGTTTATTTGCTTTTGTGCCGTGGCCTGGGCTTGATTTTCATTTTCATTTTCATTTCGCAAAACACATACAGACACACCAACACACACTCACACACATACACACACACACACACAGCTCCAGACTGTTGCATATTAAAAGTGCCTCAGCTTCCTGTTTTTCTTTCCTTTTCTATTTTTTTTTTTGCTTTTTGTTTCTCGTTTCTGTTTTTGCAGCCGCTGCTCATTTGCCTTTGTCTAAAAATCTGAATCTGAATCTACATTCCCTCTGCCTCTGTCTCTGTCCCTCTCTCAGTGTGTTTGGCATTTTTTTCTTGGTTTTTCATTAATAATATGACACAATTCCTTCAGCATTGTCCTGGCCAGCTGCGCCTGAGAGCACTTTTGGCTTTGACGCCTCCTTATGCTCATTATGCTCATTTGGGGCTTTGTCTTCTAGAGCCTGTCCGCTGGCTCCCTCGCTCGTGCTCACGCCTACTACTCTCATTTGCCAGCCAACGTCTTTTTGCTTTTTCTTTCATCATTCATTCATGTAGCACACAGACACACACATCTGCAAAATCCAAATGCAAACACAGCGCCAGCAGCAGCAGCAGCAGCAGCAGCAGCAGCAGCAGCAGCAGCAGCAGCAGCGAAGGAAACCCACAAAACAAAAGTGCAATACACACGTGTGTGCAAAAGTATGTGCGTATGTGTGTGTCTGTGTGTATGTATGTGCATTTACATTACACTTTATGATACGAGGTTGCTTTGACTCTTAGGAATATTTTATTTAATTTAGA